TCCAGCAGCAGCGCAAGATCACGGAAGCGTCCAAGAAGTTGGAAATGAAGAAACTGTACCAGGTGCTTGTAGTCATCGACGACTTTGCTGACACGCCGCAACTCCACAAGCTGCACGGCGGGTTTGACACGCTCTTCATCCGAGGCCGTCGCACGCAGATCAGCACCTGGGTGAGCTCGCAGAAGCTGAGGCTCATCAGCGCAGCCGTGCGGGTCAACATGCAATTCCTCTGCTGCTGGAGGCTGCGCAACCAGCACAAGCTGGACGCCGTCATCGAGGAGCTGAGCGCCCTGCTGCCAAAGGAGCAGCTGTACCGTCTGTACGAGCAGGCGACCCGAGAACCCTACAGCTTCCTCTTCGTATACTACCTGAAGCGTTTCGCGCTTGAAAAAGACGCTGATGGGAGCGGCGCTCAGCTTCCTGGGCCAGAAGCTGTTCGCCAGCTCCACGCTGATCAACGCGAAGTGTGAGAACATCTCCTACTGCACCTCCGTCGCAGCCGTCCAGTCACCCATCGTCCGCCGGACGCCTAAAGAAAAGGATGACGACGATCTACGTGGACAGCCGCAAGAGGCTGGCCGGCTCGGACAGGGACTTCGAGGTCGGTTTCGGGCTGCTGCCCGAGGCCGCCTACACCGGCGCCCGCCGCCTGGGATCAGCTCCAACTTTGCCACCACCTATGGCAAGACCACGAACAGCCTGAGCGTCGCCTACGACGGCCCCAACCCGGCCTCTGCAGCACACGCCCCTGCAGGCAATTCCTGAGGACGGCTTCCGCACTCCCGCCGAGCGAGGATGTGCGGCTGGCGCGGAGGTACCAAGGCTACGGCGGAACCCGCTTCGTCGAGGACGACCTGGCAGAAAACACCCCGAGGCCGGCGCCCTGGCAAGCAACGGTCAGGGCCCGCCCTCCATCACGGACCGTCTGCGCAGCACGGCCGACGGCGCTCAGGCGGCAGTGGACCTCATAGGCGCAGGAGCAGCAGGGCCGCGCAGGCCTTCCGCTCTCAGCTGCCCCAGGACGCAGCCGAGTACGTGCGCCTGAACGTGCTGCCCCGCAGATCATCGGTCGGCCCGACGACGTTGAGCGCCTCCTGGACGAGGCAGGGCAGCGTGCGCAGGAGGTGGAGCGTGGCGCAGCGCAAGCCATCGAGGAGACGGCGGCCGTGGCTGCGGAGGAGGGTGAGGTTGCCGTTGCCGTGGGCGGAGCGTTCGGGCACCTGGGCGGCCTGGCCGAGGGGGCAGCAGCCCTGGCGCCCACTGCGGGCAAGGTTGCTGGCACGTTGGCTGGCGCGGCAGGAGTCGGTGCAGCGGCAACGGCGGGGCTCGCAGGCGGCGCAGCCTACGGCCTCGCCCGCGGTACGGGCTGGGTGCTGGAGAACACGCTCTTCCGGCCTCAGCAGGGCAGCGAGGACGCGGCCGTGCAGGACGTCCGGTCCGCCAACAACATGAACGACGCCACGCAGCCTCAACACTTTTCGCTGCGGTCCGGCAGCAGCACGTCTGGCAGCCCAAGCAGCCGCGCATCCTCGCAGTCTGGCTTCCGTGTCCAGGCGCAGTCCAACCACACGCCACGCCCCTTCTCTTGGGGCCTGAACCCCGTGACCCTGCCCCAGTCTCAGCCGAGCTCGCGGACGAGCTCCAGTTCCGGGCAATCGCGCCGGAGCCTTCGACCAGGCTGCCTAAAAAACTCTCCTCCTCGGAAATGCTGTCTATTGATATAGGCACCAGAGGAATAGTTTCCTTCGCCGTACGACTCAAAATGCGTTTCGTGGTACATGTAAAGAAGCATGGAGGTAGTCACCGCCGGAGCCCAGGATGAGGTGATGCAGAGCCTGGACGACAAGCTGAAGACCAGCAACACCAGCTACGTAGCTACGTGACGGCGCGGCACGACGTGCAGTACTTCGCCAGCTCGCTGAGCTCCGCATCCCGCTGACCAGTGGTACCTCGTTCATCAACCCCGAGTCGATCAAGGTTGCCTTCCGCGTCAGGAACACGGACGGCGCCAACCCGCTGGCCCCGGCCACGCCCAACCCCGCCTGCTTCGTCCAGCGCGTCCAGGTCTTCGCCAACGGCCAGCGCTGCGACGACATCAACTACTACGGCCGCACCGTGGCCGTGCACGACCTGAAGGGCCGAGAGTACAACCGCAACAAGGCCCGCATCGCCCGTGCGGCGCACCAGAACGGCCACGCGGACGTGCTGCTGCGCCCCACCATTGTGGGCATCCTGCGCTGCGGCAAGATGCTGCCCCCGTGATCGAGATCGAGTTCGCGGACGCCACGACTGCGCTGTGGTCCGAGAACGCCGGGCGCACCCGGCAGGAGCCACGCTGAGCACCGACTTCGAGATACAGAACGTCCGAGTTCTGGCCTCCCAGGTCGTCTTGGACTCGGCGCTGGTCAAGTCCTTCAACCGGGTGCTCCTCTCAGGAAGGTCCCAAGCTGATGGGCGCGTTCGTGACCTTCTGGGACAACGACGCGGGCTCGAAGAACGTGGCGCCCATCGGCGCAGCCAGGCAGGAGGACAGCGTCCTGGAGTCGCAGATGCAGCTGGGCAGCCTGCAGTACCCTCACAACCCCATGAAAGGAGCCTCGGAGCACTTCCACTTCCTCTCGGTCCTTGCGGGTACTTACGACGACACGGTGCGCAACACCGACATCGGCCGTGTGGGCTACTTGCGCCACAGCCGGCTTCCCAACCGAGCGTGTGCCCAAGATGCCCCTGAGTGGCGTCAGCACCCGTTCGGGCAACCTGGCTCGGTTCACCTTCAAGGGACTTGACGGCGCAATGACGGACGTGTTCCTGCACCTGATAGCCCACCAGCTGGTGACGCTCTCCGGCACGGGAGTGCAACCCGACAAAAATTAGACGTCATGCGGTCCGCAAGCTCTACAGTTGCCTCCTGCGCGATCTACAAGCCTCGGCCCCCGCTGCGCTGCTCTACGGTGCCTTCCGTCTTCCCAGGCTTCGCAACTGTTGCCTGTCTGAGGATCTGCGCAGCCTGTCTTTCTGCCGGCTCAGGCCTCCTCCCAGAATGTTCGCCTTCAGCCAGTCCTTGCCTGCCCGACCTTCCTTTGCCCCGGATGACGACGGGGATGTGGGCCACGCATTGCCAGCACTTTTCCTTAAAAAACCTCCTCCCGAGCTTCTTCAGCTCGCAGCTGCCTTCCTTTTGCAGCCTTCCCACGAGGCCCCACTGCCCGTTCTGAAGCAGCACGTAGTCAGCCGGCTGCCTCAATTCAAAGGTCCTCGACTCAGGCTGCCGGCCGCCTTGCCGGCCCTGGTGACGCTCCCGTCCGCTGGAGCAGCGCGTAGGCGCCGCGGCCCCGCCTCAAGCCGAGGACCTCGATCCGGCCGCCTCCCTGATGTGCTCCCGTTGCCTTGCCCAGGATGCCATTGTCGGGTTGCTTTGCTTAGGCAAAGAAAGCTGTGCTCTGCGCTTGCTCACCCTTCCCTCACCAGCCGCTGCACTTCAGCCCCCGCGGTCTCTCATAAAAAGACAAATCAGGGCAATATGCCAATTTTTTCACGGTTCGGGGACACCTCAACCTACCTGGGGGGGCCTGGGGATCAACGCAACATCATGGGGGTCAATGGCTGGACGCGGGCCCGGGCCGAGAAAACCTCCTCCATGATGTCCGCGGGCTACAGGTAGCTTCGGTTTCGTGGTGGGAGGGGGGGGTCTGTTGAAAGAAACACTCGCACAACACAAAACAAAAACGCGCGCGTGCACACAAGTTCGCACCAGTTTTCATGGAAGGTTTTTTTGCTCGGACGACTTTTTGCGGCCGGCCGGCAGCAGGCGATCGGGTGGTGCCAGGGATTGGCTGGCGGGGGCCACGGAGCAAGCGGCGGAGGCGCTGAGCAAGCGCCAAAAAGGCTGCCAAGCAGGCAGCTGGATCCGCGCTGTGGCTGGGTGCTGGCCACAGGTGCTGGTCACAGATGCTGGCCACAGGTGACGACAGGCTCCCTGGCCGCCATTTTATGCCTTTTTTGGGAACAGGGGAATAAACAGGATGCTTGTGGGGGAACACGGGCAACAAAGCAAATGTGATGTGCAGTTTTTTTTGCGCGTCTGCGTGCGTGCGCGTGCCAAATGTGCTTATTTTTCACACAAGAAAACATGTCTCGGCGAGTTGTGTGGTGCTTGCAGTCTCATCTGTCAGTCCTGGGTGTGCTGGGTGCCCTGGGGTTCCTGGTGTCCCCGGAGTCCCTGAGGTCCCTGAAGTCCCTGGGGTCCCTGGGGTCCCTGAGGTGCCTGGGATCTCCCGGTCCGTTCTCTCCACGCCTCGGCGGGTTTTTCCGGGCGTGTTCTTTTACGTCGGCAATCCACGACCAAAAGAACGCCGGTTTAGAATGGACAGGAGTCCCCGCGCCCGTACCGGGCTTCACCTGTAGATCCCTCACTTCCAACACCAAACCACACTGCTTACCCATGATCCAGACTTGCCTGGCCTCGACGCAGGCCTGGCACTCGCAGCCGGCAAGGGCCTTGGGCCTTTGGATCTTGTTGCCGTCGGTGTCCCAGAAACGGACGTTCCGTGCGTCCAGCTTGCACTTCAGGAAGGTGGCGCCCTGCCAGGACTCTTTGAGGCAGCTCTGCCACCTGTCTTTTGCATCGCCGCAGTCGCCCCAGATGCGGTTGGACCGCAAAGACATCCCAGGCCCCCCAGGCCTCGGAGCCTCTCTCACGTTCTGCCTGGGTCTTGGTCCTCGCCAAAGCTGTTGGGCTCCCACAGCATGTGGGTCCACTCGGATTGCCAGACTATGGGCTTCCCCTCGCACCTCAAGGGCGCCGACTTGGCTCCCTTGGGGGAGGTCTGCACCTCCCCGACTGTCATGTTGCTGGCGATGGCAGTTAATTTGACTGGGTTGCCGGTCTCTTTTCTTATAGGGCGGACAAAACAAACGGTCCGACCAAAGTGTCGGCCCCAGCTCAAGCGGCTCGAGAGCCATTTCCGGAAAAGGGGTGTTTTTTGTCATTTTTCCGGAAACTCTGTTTTTGCACGGGTTTTGCGCACAAAACAATGACAGATTCTTGCTGTTGTTTCTCACGGTTTTACGTTGTCGGGTGTGAGCACTTGCCGCAGCCTTTTGGGGACACTTTTGGGTCCGGGGCGGTGGGGGGGGAACCGCTCGCGGGTGCAAGGCGTGGTTTCGACCCCACGTACAGTGCGCCGGCCATGTGGAGTTGGAGAACGGCGTCCCGCAACAGGCTTTGTTTGACCCGCCTGGGCCTTCGCTTGGCTGTTTGCGCTGTCACTGCCAAGCCCAACTGATCTTGGAGGTTTGGGCCCAACTCGCCAAGCCTTGCTTCTCGTGCCAAGGCTTGTTGAACCGCGGGATCTACATTGCCCGGACCTTTTGCTGTTTCCGTTGCCGTCGCCAAGCGCAGCTGATCTTTTGAGGTGATCCGTGAGGGCTCTTGCTCAACTCACCGTCTGTCAGGCTCCCTTTATGTTTGACCCGCCGAGCAATCACGTCACATGCCAGGTGCCGGATCCACTGCGACGTGCAGATCTTCTCGCGGTGCGGCCCTTTGGAGTTGCCTTTTTTTCACATCTTGTTTGGCCGCTTGCAAGGTGGATCCACAATTCGTTCCACAGGACTCCTGTGCAGGTTGCGCTGCGTTTTCAGGGTCTGGTCCAATTTGCCAAGTTGACCTGGTGAGGCCACGTGGCTCTTCCTGTGTTTGTGGGTCTCTAGGGTCCCTAGGGTTTTGTGGGGTCCCTGAAGGTTCCCTAGCGTTCTTGACGCAAGCATCCGTCAATCTGAAGCGTTGTTGGAAACCCTGCGGACCCCAGGGGACCCCAGGGACCCCAAACACCCTAGGGACCCTAGGGACCTTAGGGACCCGGGGACACCCTGTGGTACCTGGGGTGACAAGGTGGGGTGCAACGAACATTCCTGCGGTCAATTGCAGGTTTTTTGCTGGAAGCGACTTGTGAAGTGGTTTTTGATCATGTATCGGTTTCAGTAGATAGAGATCTATTTGTTTGTGTACATTCATAGATTTATCAATTTATAGATCTTTATATTATTTTATTTCTAGAATTGTAGATCTATACATTCATACATTTTTAGATTTGTAGATTTATCAATTTATAGATCTTTATATTATTATATTTCTAGATTTGTAGATCTATACATTCATATATTTTTAGATTTGTAGATTTATCAATTTATAGATCTTGATATTATTATATTTCTAGATTTGTAGATCTATACATTCATACATTTTTAGATTTGTAGATTTATCAATTTATAGATCTTTACATTATTAGATTTCTAGATTTGTAGATCTATACATTCATACATTTTTAGATTTGTAGATTATCAATTTATAGATCTTTACATTGTTAGATTTCTAGATTTGCAGATTTTTAGACTGATAGTCTACGTTGCTTTGGTTTGCGTAGCAGAACGACTTTGTTCAATGGAGGTTCAAGGCACGCCACTTCCCAGAGGCTCCCCCCTTCCAAGACCTGCGGAGTCCCCCGGGGTCCCTAGGGTCCCCAGCATCCCTAGGGTCCCTGGTGACCCGGATTTAACAGCACGCTCGTCGCCCCAGCAGCAGCATGCTTGCGGATTTGTTTGAGGGGGGCCCACCAAGAACCTTTAGGGACCCCACAAACCCCAGGGTCTCCAGCAACCTTGGGTGCTTCAGATACCGCAAATCCGAGAAAATCCAGGGACTTCAGGGACTCCAGGGACCCCAGAAACCCCAGGGACCCCAGGGACGCTCGTCGGCCCAGGCCGGGCGAGTAGAAGACGCCTGGTGCCCAGCAGATTCCAGCAGCAGCATGTGCACATGTGACTTTCGGAGGAGTTGGTCAGAATTTGGCAGACGAGTTGATCAGACTTTGGATGTGAGGGCTTGCGAAGCTGATTTTGGCTGAATCTGAAAGTTGCTTGTGGATCTTGTTGCTATGTCCTTCAATGCAGTTGCGGGCTATCTCGGCGACCTTGCCCGCGGCAAGCGGAGGGTGACTGCGAGCCGGCCAAGTCTGACTGGGAAGACTTGCAGGCCGCCGTCTTGGCCGGTGACACAAAGGCCCTGCAGGTGGCCGACGCAGTGATGGCGCAGGCCAAGAGCCGCACTGACGCCGAGCGCATGGAGGCGTTGGGACGCCTCCTGCAGGAGGAGTGCGTGGAGGACTGGCGGAGCCATGCCTGCCTCTGACAGCGTCTCATCCAGGGACCCCAGGAACCTCAGGGACCCCAGCAACGCCAGGCGCCCCAGAAACCTCAAAACTTTCAGAGACCCCTGAAACCCGTGCCCTCCAGGGCACGACAGCTTGTGACTTCCGTGGTGCCGATTTCGGTTGCCTGTTTTGCAGGCAGGCCAGTTTGGTATCTCGCTTGGACTTTGATGCAGCGGCAGGATGTGGGTCAGCCAGTCTGACGGATGGACGCTGCGAAGCCTTGCAAGGCTTGGCCCGACCGACCTTCAGGCCGCGAGTGAAAAGGAGGAGGAGCATCCAAACCCGTGCGTTGGTGTTGCCAAAGAAGCCAGTCAATCTTGTGTTTGCTCTGGAAACTTGGCTCGAGGGTACTCATCAACACTGACACAACAACAGCTCGCAATGGTTGCCCGATGGTCTAGTGCCAGTGCTTGAGGAATTGCAGGCCGCTCAAGCGCTTTTCGAATAGCCATGGCGATGATGCGGACCAGGACCAAAAGCCGAGGCTGGCAAGCTTGTCCCGCGGCGGGCAGCGGCCAGGTATGTGCCTCTGCCTTCTCGGGGTCGCATTGGCGCTGCTCGTGCAGCCGAGCACGGCCTGGGTCTTGGGACACATTTTTGTCCCGAAGGTTTTCGGGTTTCAGGAGTCCCTTGTCGCCGCCCAGGACTTTGCTCGAGGAGTTCCTGGGCTGAAGGAGCATGAAGTCCCTCCTTTGGATGTTCTTGTTTCGTGCTGAGTGCCAGGACAGCATATTGGCCCAGTTCTCAGAGTTGCCCGCAGGCGCAAGCAGATTGCACTTTGGCTCTTTCAGGCAAAACGGCGCCCGTTGCATGCCGGAGTCGCTCGGCGCGCCGGGGCTGCGCAAGAGGACTCCTCTGACCCGAAGCCTGTTCGCATCTTTTGCCGGTTGCCGCCAGGACAACAGTGGCCAGGCCTGGGGGACACGTGCATCGGGCTTGAACGTTGGGCTTGTTGGTTGTCAGGACCGGCGCGATCTCGAGGAGGCAGCGGACCAGAGTTCGTGGAAGAGGCAGGGCTGTTTGCTTCCTTTGCCTAAAGGTGAGATCCACATTTCGCGGCATTTTCTTTTTCCACCAAAGCAGCCAAAAGGGCATTGGAGAAGGCCGTCTGTTTGTGCGCGCTGCTTCGGCGTGTGAGTCTTGCTGGGCAGGACCTGCTCCTGGCGCGGCAGCAGCTGCAACTTGCTCTGGCGCAGCAAGAGACGGCCCAGGCGCAGGTCAAGACGGCCCATGCGCTGGCGGAGGAATCGGGCGATGCGAAAAAGGTGCAGGCGGCGGAAAGGAAGGTGGAGAGGGCGAAGAAGGAGGTCCAGGAGGCGAAGAAGGAGGTCCAGGAGGCGAAGAAGGAGGACACTAGATTCCTGGCATCTTGGCTGTTTTTTGTGTGTTGCCGCCAGGATTCTCTCGGGCCACAGGTCCAGATCTCGGTTTTGCTGTGATGTTTTTCTGCCTGGATTTTCAGCTCTTGAGGTGACACGCTAGCACCTTTGGCGTGGCGCAGGACGCTTTAATCAGCAGTTACGCTGGCGTTGCTCATTGCAGTGGCCGAGCTCGGCCTGGGTCTTGGGAACGTTTAGGGGTTTGAATTTCCCCGACCGCCCGGCGTGCTTTTAGTGGGGCTGCCCGAAGCGCATCCACAAAACCAGGAAATCCCAAGATTGCATTTGCGCAGATTGCAGCGCTTCCTCTTGAGAAAGGGAAGACAGCACAAACGCTAGCTTGGGATTTCCTGGTTCTGTGGATGTGATCAGGGCAGTCCCACTGAAAGCATTTCCGGGCTGCGGGGGAAATCAACAGCCCAGACAACGACCAACGGCACACCTCAACACAAAGTCTGCAGGCAGCAGAAATACATTGTGCGCACTTTAGCAATCTCCCCCATGCTCATGCTGTTGGAACCAAGTAAAACATTAGGATCGACCTGTGCCTTTAGCAGCAACGACCCCAATGGCTGCACCAGCGTCAAAATTGCGCTTCCTGTCTTCATAGATTTCAGCTGGCTGCATTGTTGGCAGACGGGAAACGATTCAGTGTGGAAGCCCATGAATCGAATGTTGACCTTCCTTGCCATTCGGGGAGGTCGTTCGCTTCTGCCGGCGGACGTTCTTTGAGACGCTCTTCTTCCATGAAGGATGCCAGCCATGTAAAAATCAGCAGTGTCTGCCTTCATGCGAAGTTCACAATGCTCTTGAAGTGTATTGGCAGACCCTTACCTTTTGACCCCCGGCGGCGAGATAGCATAGTTGATCTTTGTGACTGTACAGGCAATTTGGGGCATTCGGGGAGCGAAAGGAGCTTTGAGTGTCAGTCCAGTGCAAGGGCATCGGCAAAGTGGCGTCTTTGACGGCTCCAGCAGCGCCAGCGGCAACCAGAGTGCTAGTAAACAAGCCGCGTAGGGTCGTGAACACGCGGACCAACATGACACGAAGCAAGGACATGTTGGCACGCAAGAAGTCGTCCGCCGCCCAAGAGTGCTCATCAAATGCTTGAAGGCACTGGGCACACATTGCCGATGTATCCAGCGGTAGGATTGGCCTTGCAGGCCCGTGAAGTTCAGGAATGGCCATGGCTGTGATGAGGGCCAGGATAAAAAGCCAAGGCCCGCAAGCTGATATGCTGCGCTGTTTGTTGTGTGGTTTTGCAAGGTGCGTGCCTCAGCCTGAAAATGCGCTGGCGTTGCTCATTGCAGTGGCCGAGCACGGCCTGGGTCTTGGGAACGTTGAGGGGTTGGCAGCTGACTCGTTCGGGCTTCAGGAGTCCCTGTCCGCCGCCCACGAGTTTTCGCGAGGAGTTCCCGGTCGGAAGGACCGTGAAGTCCCTCTTTGCGAATGTTCCTGCTTGTGCTGTGATGCGAGGACCGCAACGGCGCACCGGCCCAATCTTCAGACTTGTCCACTAACGCAAGCAGATTGACCCTTTTCGCATCCTGCGAGCTTAGTGAGGCATCGAGCCAGCGCTGGTTGCATGCTGGAGTCGCCTTGCGTGCCAGGGCTGCACGAGAGGACCTTCGGACCCAAAGCTTGCAAGTTTGGACGATTGCAGTTGCCAGGACAACAATGCCGAGGCCTGGGGGACATGTGCATCAGAACGCTGGGCTTCTTGGCTGCCAGCAGCGGCTCCATCTCGAGGAGGCGGCAGGCCTTCAGAGAAAGGACAGGTCCCAGCTTGGCCTCGCTCAGGCGATTGCAGAAGCCGAACGGGTGCTGCAGGACAACGACACGGTGGAAAAGATAAAAGCTGTCTTGCGCCGCTGGAGCAGCACATGGGTCGGGGTTTTCAAGAGCGGTGAAAGGTTTGAGCTCAGGAAAAGCGCAGAAGATAAACCCAGGGAAGTGGACCCTTTCAGGGAAGAAAGACGAGTTGAAGCAAAAACTGCGCGAGTTCGTGGAAGAGGCAGGACTGCGTGCTTTGTCTGAGATTCACAAGCGGTTTTCGTGCGACGCAGGCCAAAGCAACCCTGAAGGGCTTGAAAGAGGACGTCCGTTCGTGCGCACTGCTGGGGCTGTGAGTCAGGGCTCCTGTTTTGTGTGTTGCAATTGGTCCGCCAGGATTCTCGCAGGGCGCAGGTCCAGATCTCGGTGTCGCTGTAATTGTCTTTGCCTGGATTCTTAGCTCCTCTTGAGGTGACAAGCTGGCACCCTGGGCGTGGCGGAGTTGCTTCGCGCGCCAGCCCGCAGCAGGACGCTCCAATCAGCAGTTGTAAATTTGGCCGGTTGCAATCGTGCCAGGACAGTGGTGCGGAGGCCGGGGGCTCGCATGCGCCAGGCTTGCTTGTTGGTGAGTGCTGGCAGGACTGGCTCGCCAAGAGCTGCGAGGAGGTGGAGGGCTTCAAGAAGGCCCAGGTGCCCAGTTGGGCAGAGGCTGTGCTGATTGACGGCGGGCTGGAAGCAGACGATGAGTTCATCCAGCGGACGGTGACCGCACTGCGGCAGCAAGGCGTCACCGGCAAGTCCCTGCTGGAGCTGACACTGGAGAAGCTGATGGCAGCTCCGTACAACATCCCTGGCGGACCTGCAGAGCTGCTGACAAAGAAGATCCAGTTGCTGAAGGAGCCCCAGGCGCGGCTGGAAAATCGTTTCTCTTGACTTTTTTCTGAGACGTGCGGTGGGTCGTTGCGTGTGGTTCTGAACTTCCCCCCCGCGGCCCGCAAATGCTTTCAATGGGCTGCCCTGATCAACATCCACAGAATGAGAAAATCCCAAGATAGCATTTTTGCAGATTGCGGCGGTTCGTGTCGTTGGCAGGCTCGGTATGGAGCCCCCATGAACGGATGGTTGCCTTTCCTTGTTGGAGGTCGGTCATTCCTGCTGGTCGACATTGATTGAGACGTGCCGTTGATCGTTGTGAGTGATTTTGCGCTTGCCCCCAGCCTGCTTTTGAAAGAGCACGTCTGCCGGGGAGAGGGAGGGCAAACTCTGATGTCTTGCACCCATTGGGGTCCTTGCTGCTGCAGGCACAAGTGCATTCTATGAATGTTCTCTTTGAGCTCCCGGGCGGTGTTCTTGCTCGATGTTTTGCCCGTTTTGCTGCCATTCCATCCCGTTCTGTTGTTCATTTTTCTCCGTACCTGTTCATATCTGCCTGATTTGGTGTGAGTGTTTGGCGCAAAACTATCAAGCAGTCGAGGGGGAACCCGCAAATATTGAAGAGCCTGCTGTTCCAGTCGCCTGCCTTTTGAACAGCAAGACCTACCCTTCTGCCAACACAATGCAATCCGAAGGTTAAATTTTGTTCCGACAGCACGAGCATGGAGGAGATTGCTAAAGTGTGCACACTGTCCTTCTGCTGCCGGCTGACGTTGAGACGTGCCGTTTGACGTTTTGTGTGGTTTTGATTTCCCCCGCGGAAATGCTTTCAGTGGGGCTGCCCTGATCACATCCACAGAACCTGAACATATTTGACGCCACTCTCATGGGCAGTGTTCCTGCTGGAACATTTGGTTTTGTTTCGGTTTTGGTACCCTTGTGTTCCTTGCTTTCCTAGTGCTCGGCTTTCGCACTAAGTACCCATGCTTCTTTGTGGAGTGTTGTGAATGGTTAGCGTTTTGCAAAAACACGAACATGCTCGATTCGCTATGAATGGTCAGCATTGTTTCTTTGTCTTGTCAATGCCCCCTCTCCGGCAGTGGCTTTCCAGTCCACTTTTGCTTTTGGTTTTGTCACTGAGAAGGTCACTGAGCAGGTCGTCACTGCCAAGGACTTCAATATCGCTGCTTGCTTGCGACCTTCAGATGGTGACCGACCCAAAAGGTTCCTAGAGCTGGACTCTTGCGTTGATGACTGCATGCAGGCAGTCCAGGACAATCTGCCACTGGTCACAAAGAGTACGAAGCCGCGAGTGCCTCCTGCCATGCTCTCCCGCTTCATGCGCGGCGGCAAGACAACAATGCTTTGCAAGGTCTTTGACAGGCTGAAGAAGGAGGAGAAACTCCCCATTTTCATCAGCTTCAACGGGGATTCGCTCGTCTCCAAGCTCGATGGCGAAAAGGTACTGGACACTATGCTGAGGGCCATTGCTGTGAGTCTAATGAAGAACAAGCCCGCAGACAAGAAAGATGCAGAGCGGGTGCGCTGCAGCGAGAAAGCCTTGAAGGCATATCTGGCGGACAAGCAGGACGTCGTCCTCGTCGTGGATGAGCTGAACGTCTTGCTCAAAGCCAATCCAACCGATGGCCACCAAGATGTGGGGAGATTCCTGCGAGAGATGTTCCTTGACCCTGCAGGACGACACCTCGTGTTCAGCACCCACATCCCCACCAGCGCTGGCCTCGATCAAGTCTTGGGCAAGGGCGCAGGAAGCTCTCGTACGGTGATCCCCATAAAAATGCCCAGGTGCGCTGAGGTGCAGAGGCTGAGAGGCATGCACCCGAACTGCGCGGCCTTGACGCCGTTGGAGGCCGTCTATTTCGGCTACATCCCGTCCCTGATCTACTCGGTCAAGACGGGGGGCTTCGACCTTGAAGGGCGGATCCGGGATATCCTACCTGCTGCAAAGTCGGACTTCCTAGCAGAGTCTTTCCTGTCAGAGTTCTTCACTGGCGAGCGGGGTCCAGACCACGATCCAGTGCGAGCCTTCGATGCCCTCACTGAATCGCAGATCCGGTGGATTCTTGCCTATGTGGGACAGATGTGCTGCCACCTGGGTTGGAAACAGGTTGGTGCATGGATCGAGGAGCTCCCGAGCTGGTCGGGAAAGGTTGAGAGCGGCCAAGACTGGGAGACCGTGTTGCTGGTCGCTCTGTGCCTTCGATGCTATGAGGCCAAGTACAGCGAGCCCCACGAGCTGCTGAGACTGGCAAAAGGGGCTCTACGGCCCGCCGCGGTGTATGTGGAGAAGGTGCCGCAGGAAAATTCTACCAACCCAGAAGTCATACTGGCCTGGTGGAAGGGGCAGCCGATCGACACATACCCTACATAGCGGTGCTGTCGCCCACTTTTTCCAAAACGGAAATCGTGGACGCCATGTGGGTGTATCAAAAGGATGCAACGGCCAGTTGCCTGGTGAGGGGCATGCAAGCCAAACTAGGCAGCGCCTACCCGACGCATCATATGCCCCTTGGCATGCTGGGGTTGCTGTTCCGAGGCAAGGCGCCGGAGACCTCCGGTAACTTGGAAAGGCAGCGGTGGAAGTATCTAACTGCGAGCGAGATTCAGAGTTTTCTGGGCAAATCTTTGACGGCTGCTTGTCCCGCTCACTGGCCCAACGTGACACGATGAGCCCTGACAGCGTTGTGTCTTCCTTGTCTCAGGGCTTTTTGGTACAGCGTATTCAGTTTCGTGGCAAAGCAGATTGAAGCCAGAGATGTAATCACAGACAAAAGCTTGTCAGACCGCGTGCGTGCCACTGGCAAGCCTGGAGTGAGTGTCATGGGAATGTGGGAGACGTTTTTTCCTTTTGGTATCCTTTTACAACCAACCAGAAACGGCATCTCCAATTTTGAGACAAACCCACATCCAAGTTCGCGGGTCATTTGTTGATCATGGTGAGCAATATTTTTCCAGCATATTGGCCCCAAGTTGGTACAGTGACAATTAGCCGGCCAGATCAGGGCCTTGGGCATTGTTGATTACACTTGCAGACTCCACCAGCTGAATTGGGGCTAACATGCAGTTTTATTTTCAGGAAATGTTACACACTATCCGTTTTTTTTGAATTGGTGTACATGTTGAAAGGGAAGCAGCCGTAGAAGTACCACTAGACAACTGGAGATTTGTTCGCCAAGATCGCAGAACCAACAGTGTGGTCTTTTCAAAGGGCTGTGCGATTCGGTTCTGGACCCACCAAATAATTGGCCATCCGTGCCCTGATAGTGCCAGAACTTGGGCGGGCCGAGCCAGCCAAAGAGGCTTTGTCCAGCTAGACGCGACCAGCAAATGGGACATTTTGTCATAGTAGTTAGAGTGGTCCTTGCCCGCGTGTGCATTGAATTTTTGTCCTTCAGTGGTTTGGTCTGTTAACAAACATTCGCAATCGCTGTTGCTCGTTACGAGTTGGACTTTGAGCGAGCCCCTCCAACCTTTGTTTTGATCGTCCAACGTCCAGTCTCAGGGGGGGGTGGCAGTAGGGTCTCCCGGCCCTCGGTGCTCCGGCGGTCATTGAGTCCACGGCCCGCAGTTGCTGCGTGTCGCTGTACTGTGGGTTGAAGCTCCTCGCCGCGTTCGTTGGTGCTCGGAAAGCCCCTGCGTCCTCCACGGCCTTGATGCGCCGGTCCGTGAGGTCCTTGTTGTGCTGGAACTTGTCGGCGTTCCTGTAGAAGCCGGAACTCGGTGGCCAGCTGCTTCTCCACATTTTCGGGGCACTACCCGCGCTTGCGGGCCACGCGCGTGGCCAGGTCCTGGATGCCCCTGTCCACAATGGATGTTGCGATGAGTGTGGCGAATTCGCTGCCCAGGTCGTTCGTGACCACGAAGTTCTTGTCATCCCCCACCAGCTCCTGCGTGGCCCGCTTGGTGGCCTGGCCGACCGTCTTGGCGTTCTTGTTGAGCGCAGCCTCCACAGCAGCCTCCCGGATACAGACGTCCATGACCACCAGGCGTACCTGGTCTTTCTTCGGGTGTTCTGGCTGAAGTCGATGAGGGAAGGCAAGTGCAGCCTTGCGACGAGAAGTCCATGCGCGCCGTGCTCCAGACTCCCTGCGCGGCCGTGCCGAGGAAGGTGCCGGTGACGCCCACGTAGTCGTTGTCGGCCGCACTGACGTACATCACCAGGTTGGAGGCCGTGCCCAGCCGGTACCAGCAGCCGAACAAAAAGCGCCTCCCGGGCGTGAGAATGTAGGTGCGCGCGATGTTCCAGGCGAAGGCGCTCAGGGTCATGGCAGCTCGAAGCCTCCCACCGCGAAGCTGGCCGAGGTTACGGAGCTCTGGCTGTAAAATTGCCTAATGTGGTCAGCGTGGGCTCCAGCAGCACCTCGCCCAGGGTGGCCAGCGTGACGTCGTCGGCCCCTCCGTCGAGGAACTCGTGCTTCAGCAGCAGGGCCGAGGCCGTCGTGTCCGCCTCGGCCTCCGTGTTGCCTGCCTCCAGGGTTGCGTCCAGGATATGGAGGCCGTAGACGTCCACCGTTCCTGCCGTCTGGTTGGGCAGGCCCGGTGCCTGGAAGTGCGCCCCGAAGCAGGTGAAGTACATCTTTGCCGTGCTCTGGTCACCCACGAAGCTGCCGTACAGGGGGTCGTAGACGTTGTCGGCCTCGGACATGTACACCACGAAGTTGGAGGCCGCGCCGAGCCGATATCGGCAGGCGAAGAGGAGCTCTCGGCCGGGCGTCAAGTTGTAGGTGCGCACGATGTTCCAGGGGTTCACCGCCAGGGTCAGGGTGTAGCCGTCCACGCTCGCTGCGCCCGCGGTGTGGGTGACCAGGACCACGCTGCAGCCGCTGCTGGGACGAACCGTCCAGTTTGCCAGGGAGACGTCCGTGGGGCCCAGGATCTGCTCTCCGATGGCGGCCACCACCTTGTCGGCCCCTCCGTCGTCCGGAAAGCACACGGCTATCTCCGTGACTCCGAGCTTGCCGGCCAGCAAACTGTCCACCTGTGCAATGGTGTAGTAGCTGAGCAGGGCGGCGGCGATGCTCCGTTGCCGTGTCCTGGTCGGCGGCCGAGCGGTACGCCACCAGCGCCGAGGTGATCTGGTTGGTCGTGAACACGTCCTGGTCCGGGCCCGTCCGGTAAGCCAGCAGCGCGCCCGCGATGGCTGCCTGCGTCTGCGTGTCCTGCGCGCTCGCCGTCCGGTAGTCGGCCAGCAGGGCGGCCGCTTGCGCCGAGGTGTAGTAGGCCAGCAGCGCAGCCGAGATGGCGCTGGTCGTCTCGGCGTCCTGCGCCGTCCCCGTTCGGTAGTCGACCAGCAGCGCGTCCACTTGCGCCGAGGTGTAGTAGGCCAGCAGCGCAGCCGCGAGGGCCGCGTCCGGCGGTGCGACGGAGTAGCAGTTGGCCGTGATGCTCAGCGTGTCGTCGCCGTTGGCCAGCGCAGCAGAGAGAGGAGCGCAGCCCTCGACGCCGCCCTCGCCGGCAAGGCGGACGCCAGTGCGCTGGCCGCCCTGCTCTCCACGGTGGACGGGCTGGACACACCACTGACTGGAGGTGGACACCAAGATAGCAAATGCAGTGCTGGGTCTCGCCGCCGAGGCCTTCGTCGCAGCGCAGCTTGCTAGCCGGGACGCCAGCATCTCGGCGCTCCAGGGCGTTAAGGTCGACGCGACGTTGCTGGTCTCGTACGTCACGAACGTCGCGCTTTTCGCCAGCGAGATTATCCTCCAGAGCGTCTTCGACGCAATCCTCGCGGAGCTCGCCGCCCTGCAGCTTCCCGGAGGCGGAGTTGTTAACGCGCCGGCCTGGGCGGGCTTCACGACTTGGGAGCTCGTTCGCGGAAGCAACGTCGTTCGCAACCTGCGTCTCGAGCGTGGTGACTGCGTCCAGGAGGGCTGCTGTGATCTTCGAGCCCACCTCCGAGGAAGTGTCGACGGCCGACTGCAGGGCGTACGCAGTCAGGGCGTCTGCCTTGGAGGGCAGCTCTCGGATCCTGGTGTCCCGCCTCAGTCTCAGCCCAGCACTGTGCAGAGCTCTGATGGCCACCTTGGGGCTCTCGCCGACGGCCATAAGCTGGCGCCTCGCCTCGCAGGTCCTCGCAGTCCCGGCTGCACGTCCGCCTCAGGCGGTAGGATCTGCCTTGCCTCGCCCCGGTACAGCACGCGCGCAAGAAGCACACGGTTCCCTCAGCGCCGGGTCGTAGCTGTCCACAAGGTCGCTCTAGGAGCTGAGCACGCGCATCGGCGCGTTGCGCGCATGCAGAACTCGCGCACTTCCTTGGCGGAGATGCCGAGACGCCTCCAGTCGTGGCGCAGCATAGCGTCGAAGTCAGCTGCACACCACGTTCAGCAGCTCGGCCAGCTGCCGGGGCACGCAGAGCGGCTTGTCCTCAAAGGCGCTCGACAGCACGTCCTCCTTGCAGGGCAGGAAGCTCACGCTCCTCAGGCCTCTCACGCGCTGCGCGCTGGCACAGCAGCCCACCTCGGTCCTGGAGTTCCGATGCGTGCTCTGGGCCGGTGCCTCGTTATAGCCCCGCCCAGCTGCGCTCGCAGTCCGCTCCGGCGTTCCGTCCGCTGCGCTGCCTGCCCCGGATGATTCTGACACGTGGCTCTTGCCCAGCTTGGTCAGCCGGTGCTCTTCTGCCAGGTGAGAGTAGCAGTGCTGGCCCGTCCGGGTCAGCTGCCCGTCCGCGCGCAAGAGCAGCGCATAGGCCCCCGGTCCGCGCCGCAAGTTCAGCACAACGGCTCCATTCGCCCCCCGTGCGAGCCCGGGCGCCGCCGTCCGCGGCCTCCGTGATCTGTTGTCGTTGTCTTGCCCAATTTGCCATTCTTTTTTTACGGGTCCAGTTTTTTTTGTCCGGCCGCGCGCATTCTCCCAGACCAGCTGTGCGCAGATGGTTGGGGAGAATAGCTTGTTTCGCACGGTTTTTGTCTCCCGATTCCTATTCTCCCAGGCCATCTGTGCAGTTACGGGTGGGGAGAATAGCTTTTTTACACGGTTTTGCGCTACAAAAATGCTATTAGTCTCGTCCGTATGTCTATATACGGACGAGACTAATAGCTCGTGTTACGCGATTTTTTGCATGGCATGACATGATTTTTTGCTTGGTTTTGCATGGTGTTGCATGGTTTTGCTTGATTGTGCTTGGCATGTGGTGCACCCCCCAAACCCCCGAAGTTTTTTTTTAATTCCCTGTCAGGCTGCCGTGCATGTGAGGTCATCCTGGCAAAGCAACTGCGGTGGGGTCTGGCGCTGGGGGGGCGGTTTTTTTTTGGGCAGTGCCGAGCGGGCACTTTTAGGAGTGCCGAGCAGGCACAGTGCCGAGCAGGCACTTGTAGGTAGATGTGCGAGCAGGCACAGTGCCGAGCGGGCACGTAGGATTAGTACTGGCTCGCCCAACGACCCTTAGTAGATCGTCTGGCCCCGGGTTTGGCTTAGTACTGGTCTGCCCAACGGGTCAGTCAGATGAAGGGGGTCGGAGCTCGGAGTTTTTTTGGGCCCTTATAGGAACCTATAGGAATGTTATAGGAAACTCATAGGAAGTCCATAGGAAGGCCATAGGAAAAGAAGAAAAAGGGCTTCCTACAGGTTTCCTATGAGTTTCCTATAGGTTCCTATAAGGGGGGCCGCCGCCCGACCGTTCAGGTTTGATACTGGCCCGCCCAACCTGCGCTCGGTACTGGCTCGCCCAACTCCGTTTCGATACTGGCTCGCCCAACTCCGTTTCGAGACTGGCTCGCCCAACTCCGTTTCGACACTGGCTCGCCTATGGCTGGCTGTCTTGTCATTGCTGAGAC